ACAGAAACATACACTCTTATCTTACTAGTGCTGTGCCCATAGATTTCTATAGATTTCTAGTAAACCGCAAAGCGAAATTATGAGAATTTACCGTTTGAGACATTAACTAATTATCATTAAACTAAGTGATATTTAACTAATTATTATAAACTGGTCAAGTGCACAAGTGCATGTGTGAAGCACAAATGCACAATGTTTAGTTCATAGCGGAAAACCGTCAAATGACGCGACTTTTCTTTTCGGCATATATGCATTCTATAACACGACAAAAAATAGTTTTATAAGCTTTCACACTTTTCAAAGCAACGAGAGGTCATCAACCAATTTCTAGCATGATAATGCTGTATGACATAGGGGTTAGAATAGATTTTCCCTAAAGCTACAGACCAAAACATCCCAAAAATTTGATCCAAATTTGCGGACTTCCGAGTTCACAATTTTAGTCTTTTGTTTTATTTACTATTTTCGAACACAATGGAAGTCATACGCTTTCTTGCTTGAGAAGCACAGCCCAATGCGATTAACCATTCTGACAACCAAAAATTGCGCAACATAAAATCGAATAGAATTCATCGTCTTGTGCCATTGCACACCGCGCGCCCTCATCGTGAGAAATTCTTACGCCACCTGGATAGCACATCATACGTAACGTCTTTCATAGCGGTTTCTTTGTACTTTCTTCCTTTTTTGGTTTTATTTTATCGTATACAAAATCATTTAGACATATTTCTTCAACTGTCCGTTTTTACTGTAATTTATGGCTCGATCGCACGAATTCATATCAATACTATGTACATTACATTCTGATTCTCCTACAGTGTCTTCTGAAGTATTTGGAATTGGGTATAATATGAGGAGTTTTTAGAAAAAACAAATTTGGAAGATGCCAATTGGCGTAAGTCTTTTTTTCCAAGATGAACTCGCGCCATGTAAATTTGCACAAATGAACGACTTCTAAAAGACTGTACAATTGTTGATAACAGTGTCTCTTCCCACCATCGCAGCACAATAGGCCTAGCACGTGAATACGCGCTGCGCATCTCCCTGAACAGTGGCAAGAAGTTTATTCACGAGGAAAACGCGGGCGCAAATTGACGTTTCAACGGGAGCGAGTTGCCGCTGGTTTTCAACCGCTTCGTATTGCGTATGCCGACGAGCGGTGTGTGTATGTGTGCGTGTGTGTATGTGTGCGCGTGGTGTGGTATGAGCGCCCTGGCCGTATGTTGTGTGTGCGAGTGCGTGTTTCTGAATGTATGCGGTGTGTGTGTGTATGTGAGGGAGTAGGCGCGGCAATCGATACGTAAGCGCCAGCCGCGAATGTTACTACCCCCCCGGCAACCCGACAGTCATTGGACTCTACATACTCTCGCACTTTATTAAGTTCGTTTTTATGTTTACTCGTTTGATTATTGCTATTGTTATTTCGTTTTTCAACTTACTTTTCCGTCCCAACCGCGCTCTGACTTAGTGAAATGACAGGAAAACAGGCAGACAGACATGAAACTATGCGTTGCTGACGTCTGGCCTGTTGCGCCTTTTTGCAGACGCATTAACAGCTTATAGCGCATCGATTACGCTGTCAAATTGATCCGTATTCACTGTCATCAGCTCTTATCAATGACTTTACTATACTCGCTGTTTTCATTTTTTTTCGTCAATACTCGTAACAGATATGATCATA